TCTCTCAAATTGTTGTGTAGGAAAAAAAAAGAAATTTCTAGTACCACACCTGATGTGTTTGTTATATAGTTTACCCCACACCCTATACTCCTAAATGTTTCAGACCAGCAAACTGTCAGACCTTCTGCTCACACTTCCTACTTACTGCCAATTGGTTATTCAACATAGTCAATATCAACCATTGGCTGCTACTTATATGACATTAATTTTAGAGTCCTGCCTCTCTATGTTTAACAACACCCACCCCTCCAACACTGCACCTTGCGTATTGTACCAGACAACACCACAAACAAGACTGAAGACAAGAGCCGGCCTTGGCAGGGCCCAACCTGCACAGGGAATGAACTGAATGTAATACTGAGAATTTGGACTATCTCTTGTTTTGATTATAAAGGTACTGCATATAACTCACAAAAGCAACCATGTCACGCCATACTTGTAGATTCAACAAAATGTTGAACGCTGTGAAACGCAAACCCCTTATTCCTAATGCATACTGTATATGTAAAAAATGTGTTTGCTGTTTAGATGCTATACCTTATTGAATCACATTTTTTCACTGCCTGAATTTTACCCCTTAAAAGTTGATTGTTTCATTAAAACTGTGATTTTCTAGTTGCAAAAACAGAGAAATGTATTTGTTTGCACACAAAGTCAAGTTAGATGCAATTACACTCTCTCTCTCTCTCTCTCTCTCTCTCTCTCTCTCTCTCTCACACACACACACACACACACACACACTGTTAGCTGGCCAGGAATGGAAACAGACAAGCTAAGCCTTTGTATTCCCAGCACAGCAGAATTAAGACTGAGTGCTAACAGACACTCCCAGTTTAACCACATTACTCTTAAAAAATGTTACACAAACCAGAGACATCTCTGACAGCGCAACATTATCCCCACAGTTACAATTAATTACCYACACGTCCTCCCCATGCATCCCATTTACATATCTTAACAAAGGCAGGGGAATCTGCCAGGTGGGGAAACACAGGTTAGTTAGGCATGCCAGGGAGCATGCTGATGTGCGCGTGTGTGTGGATTTATGTGTGTAACACCCATGCTAAGATGTAACTGATAAAAGAAAACAAATTCATACAGATTAGGCACGGATATCTAGCTAAGACAACGAGAAAATGTTTTCTCTCCAAAACTTCGGCTTTCTTTTCTCTTCTGCTGCATGTACAAATATGTGTGTTTCTGCAAAGGTGTGTTGACATTTAAGTGCTGCTGCCAACAGCCTTTGTCTTTATGTGTGTGTTTTCTTTTCCTTGCTCTTTTCTTCTCCATTATTTTTACCTCTTGTTTCCTTCTGTCTCTCATTTATAATGGGGAGAGGGAGGCTTGAGATAAAAGAGGCGAGCAAGGAGACAGAGTGAGCGGTCACACTGTGTGATGCTATCTGCTATCCACAACGCATTGCAAGTGGACGCCTGACATGTTCTATACATCTTTCCACTCTAGCGCTCATTAAACAAATGCCCGTTGATATATCGCCCTCAAGAAATGAATTTTTACCTCTGTGCATGGGGGCTAGCTCTCTCTCAGTCCTCGCTCGCTCTGTGATCTCCTGGGTCCATGTAAAAATGCACAAACACCACTAAACATGCTGCACCCCCCCCCCCCCCAAACACACACACAGACAATATCCAAAAGCAGAGATAGCGAATGTAGCCATGAACACACTCACCATGTACACACTTGTTATTTCACCCCACAGGGCAACTGGGGCTGTTTTTGCTGCTATCTGCTGGGCATGACTAGTTACCTATGAGAGCTGGCTGCATGCAATGAAGCAGATATGATTACTCCGATAGCTTGAGTTCATAGGTATAACAACCGACACTACAATTTATTTGCTGTAACCAAGGCCTCTCCTATTGGTTGTCCAATGCTCCACTTTTCCATAACTTTGATAAGGAATTGTTGAATTTTAGACAGATTTAATATCCTTGTTACCTTCTTTATCCCTGTTAGAGATGTTGGGGCCTTAACTTGGTGAAACTCAATTTTCTTCCTCCGCTGCTTACATGGTGTGCAGTGTGCAGTTTACAGAGCTTTTTTAGGTTGACATAAATCATCATGGCCTGGATCTTTGGCATACATCACAGAACATACCACAGTAAACAAGAGCTTATTCTTCATCGAAAAAAGCTTTATTTAAAAAAAAATGGCGCACTGTTAAAATAGTTCCTGTTCCTTCTTACGTTTTTTATGATTGACAAGCCTAAATTAAAAAAAATGATACATTTTTTTCTCCATAAGATGTTATAAGCATCTAAATAAAACATATTTGATGAAAGTGTTTATATCGTAGTTAGTGATTAATGTGTCCTTTGAAATGTGGGGGGTGGGGTTGTTGTGTGTTTCCAGGCACACAGTTCAATTCTAAATATCTCCTACCATTGTTGACCCTCCCACTTCAGTACACCTGCAGAACAATGCTGGGGCGGGGGGGGGGGGTGCAGACAGGCCGGAGGACAGACTTTCCAGTTTTGCACCCTCCAGTATCATTATGTATGTATCGAAAATAAAATTTCTAATCTA